CGCGCCCGCTCAGGACCCCGGCCATGTGGGTCCCGTGGCTGTCACACTTGCTGGCCTGGTGCAGACATCACGGTTTTACACCCGTTGCATTGAAACAGGTTTGTGACCCCACAGCATCCTCCCCACCCCATCCCACCCCTTGGGCCTTGCACCAGGTAAATCCTGCTGCAGAATAAATGCTTTAAAATATTTCGGGGTGGGGGGAGACAAAAAATCATCCTGTGCAGAAGGTTACACTCAGCTCCCACTGCTACGTGTCCTACCCGGCATTTCGCCACAAGCCAAGTGTCCCCCTTGTCCTGGGAAGCCCCCTGAGCCTGGCCAGGGTTTGGTGGGTGCAGGGGGATGCTCATGCAGCACCTTGGGGCTCACCTGCCTGTGGAAGCGGGTGCCATCCTCCTCAGGAACACTTTCAAAGTCCGTCACAAGCACCCTGCCCTCGATCTCCCGGTGGGTGCTCTGCACGCTGGTGTCCAGCAGGTAAATCTCCGCCAGGTCACCTTTATCTACCGGGGATACCACCGGGGGGGAAGGCAACCACCACCTTGGTCAGCCTGGATCCCTGGGATGCTCCCAAAATGCAGCTCCAGTCCCACAGCACCACAGGGCGGGGGGATATCCCTGTCCCCCCAGGATCAGGAGAGGGAACGGGGTCACTGACCCTTTCTCAAACCCCAGTGATCCTCCCCCTGCACCCCAGTGCTTACTGGGAGGGCTGTAGGCACCCGAGGCGGGCTGTGGCGGCACGATCCTGCCCAGGTTCCAGGGGATGCTCTGGGCAAAGACGTAGGAATCCTCCTCAATGTACTCCACATGCGGCAGCTTCAGCGCCTGCGAGGAGGTGACAGGGTGCCCAGCGCGCTGCCAAAGCTCCTGTCCCCTTGGGAATGGGGCTGCCCCCCCCTGCCACTGCCCTGCACCACAACCCACCACCCCAGGACGCGTCCCCCGCTCCCCGTACTGTGTCCAGGACGTCGCTGCTCATCTTCACGAGGAAGGCGGGCAGGAGGTGGAAGACATGCAGCAGGTCAGTCAGGTACCCGCGACG